AGAGTTATATGAAAAATTGAATTTGATCTAAATCAGATAAAGTAGTGTTCATATGTACCTATATGTCTCGTATATATTATAATTTATTACATATTTTGTAAAATTAATTTGAACAGACCGTGCCAGAGTATCATGCAATTTATAAGTGTATGTGATTAACTAAAGATTACTATAATAATATAGTAAATTATAATTATAAATGAGTGTCATAATATTTTTCCTCGTATTTTTCAGTAGGTTATGAAATGATTTAGTAGATCAGTAGATCAATATGCAAATCAGGGACGAAAAGAACTAGCCTTCTGAATAGTCGGATTTTTGTTCGGAAATTAGAACGTCAAATGTGATGTTTTGTAGAGATCGACGAGAAAAATATTTGTTTTGTCAGTTGTCTCCATCAACATATTCTGGAAATTCAAGAAGATTCTCCAAACGTTTCGTCATAATAATTCTTGAGTTAGACATTTCACCATCCATTTGATTATTGACGAATTACTGAAGAAACATCATCAAACCCAGTGGGATAGAACATCAACTTGTCAAATTTGATTTTCAAAAAAATGTTGAAAATTTTTAAGATCCAGATAGCAACACGCTTTGTCAGAATTAGTCTTGATCTTGACACCATTTATTGAATTATTAAAAAATACCTCACCTACACCCTGTCACACCACATTATTATAATACTTATTTGCCATGAAAACATGAAACCTAACCTCAATTCAGAAATCGTTCAAAAATATTGATATCAATCACATCAATTTACGTTTGGGAACTGAACAAATTCACTTCGGTGCATTCACATCGTATATGTTCAATTTGACCGGCAAGAGACTTTCAGACAGTGTTGCCAATACTGGTTCACCACGGCTTCGGATTTGAGATGGTTGTGGTATATTATTATTTTACCATTCAGATGAGCAAAATGTCGATATCATTTTGCATTGATTTCAAATTCAAAACTGTTTTAAACGCTTGAGTTTGCGTGAACTGAATGTTAAAAGATACCGCATGCTTCGAACTTCGGTGACTCTGTATATTGATGTCAAACAATTTTTTTCGTATTAGCACATTTCCAACGTTCAAAATGAAGCGAGCAAATCGACCACAGACCCTAATGTCACCAATGCCCTGCACATACCAATTTTTTTTAATTCGAACCCGAGAGACGTGTCAACCGCTTGTCAGTTGAAATCGTGAAAATCTAACGAAACGTGTTTTCGACCATTCGGCAGAGTGATGAGCTAATTGAGAGACGGAAAGTGGACTTCTCCGCCAAATTCAATATGATTTTTCATCGAGTTTTATACGGTATACAACCTATTCTGGAAGCGTGACAAAATCTATACAGGGTGTTTCGAAATTCAACCGACAACGCTTGACAGGTGATAGGCCTCGTGATTTTTATAATAATTACCGATAATTACTGAGAATGAGGTGAAATGGAACATTAAGGTATTATCAACGATAGGCAATATGGCTGCCGTCATCTCAGAGATCAACTGGTGACCTGCTCGCTTACGTCTCACATATATGGCAGCAATCTATTAAAGAATATGGTGAAACCTTAGCCGTGCATGGCACTTGATATCTCCAAGGCATTCGATCGAGTCTGGCACCACGGACTCCTCTCTTCCATCTTATTGCTTGCCTCCACAGCTATGTTCTCTGCTCTGTTTTCTCTCAAACAACAAACAGGTCTCTCCGTGTAGTGGTCGACGGAGTTTCATCTGACTCTCTTATCATAAAAGCTGATGTTCCGCAAGGATAAATTCTAGCACCAACCCTATTTCTACTCTATATCAACGATTTGTTGGAAACAACTTCATGTCCAGTAAACAGCTCCGTGGATGATGGTATCCTCCATACCGCCTTCTCTTCCAGGGCTCCAATACCTACCAGGCAAATCAGAAACGAACGAGGGAGAAATGTTGACAACATGAATATGAACTTGGCAACAATTCTCGAATGGGGATCCAATAACTTGGTAGATTTCAATGCAAACAGAACTCAAGCATGCCGTTTCTCTAGAAAAGCCGATCTCACTGTGCCCAATATAAGCCTGTCAGGAGTAACTATACCTTTGAAGACACATATTTCGATGCTTGGTATCACTATCAACAATAACCTTTCTTGGGAAAATCACGTGAGACCAATTGCTGAAAGTGCATCCCAAAAACGTGGTTTTCTGTTTCGGGCCAGGAGCTTTTTCCCTTCCAGTCAGCTGCTTATGATCTATAAGGCACAGATCCGACCTGTCCTGGCATACTGTTCCCATATTTGGAGTGCAGCACCCAACCATACCCTAAAACTGTTGGATTCTGTCCAAAAAAGGGCAATTCGTCTCGTGGATGATGCCTCGCTCACAAACTCACTCACTTCTCTGGAACCCCGTAGAAAAGTTGGCGATCAGGCTCTATTTTATAGATATTTTCATATCTCTTCTGAAATATCAACAATTGTAAAGTATATCTAATATCAATTGCAGAATATCTCACACTGTGCGGCGTCGGCATGTTTGAAGTTTCCTTTGGAGTCACTGCAGGTGCGGCACGAGAATCTGCAATTGATTTTGGATAAACTATACCTCCCTTGGCAGTCTCCGCGAGTTTATCCCGTCGAGTTGAGGCTTGGCACCCATTCGTGGTCACTTTGGAGACCTGCAGAACATCTCTTCCTAAAGACTTGTTCATCCAACGAACAGCGAGGGTCTGGAACACCAAAAGGTGGTGGAATTTTAGATAAAAAAGGGCTCAGTTCTGATTCTGACAGTGACAATCACTCGGCATACATAATGAATTGTCAAATCTGTCGAACAAAGGCTCCCATTTCGTTTCATCCAACATGGTAACATATAGAGAAATGAAATTGTCTCTCAAAAACGTTTCACATGATGCAAAAATTCAACACAGATACATATGGGGAGAAGCAATTCGAAATTTTTTCTCTAGTCTTAATAAACATTGATAGATGGACATATAAAATTGCGTTGCCCTTCAAACAACGTTCACAGAATGAGAAAGTTCATCATATAATTTGTATAGAAAATAATTTCGAAAAATTATTAACACTGGGACGTATGCGGAAAATTCAAATCGTCATATGTAGCAAACGAATGGTGCAAATTCACTCTGGTTCGTTCTGTTAGCATTCATATAAAATATAGTTATAACAAGAACTAAACAAAAAAGGTTTCATTGAAAAAAAGAATGTTATTATTGAAAAAATGTTTCTGCATTTTTTGGCGAATTCGCCTAATGGAAGATTTACTATGAGAATTCAATGGTCTTCACTCGTTCTAATTTTTCGTGTAAAACACTAAAAATTGTAGGCATGATATGCAGATTCAGAAATTAGGAGAAATATAAATAACGTCTCGTAATTCGAGTTCGTGCTGATGAGTTCAGTGTTGAATCAAAATATGTATATGCAAATGTCAAATAAGGTTTATGAAAAAGCTGATCAAGTGATCATCGGTTGTCAGGTCCAGGGGGAATCATATTCCCGATGAACCCCCTCCCCTCCCTTGGTTATAAGCAATAAACGTAGGTACCTGTACTCTTACATTTATTATTGAATCCTAGACTTCATTCAAGAGTGAAACTTCGGAACAAAACTAATCGGTTCTATCCTTCAGTGAGTTTCTCCTAGCTAGCCATACACTCTGCCTGTGGATTAAGTGAAATGGGAGACAGTATGTGAGTACGTGACATGATTTTCAAGCCTATTCTGGTATTACAGTGTCAAATCCTAGAAGGTTTAGAGGAGTGGTCATTTATATAATACATGGTGTTATGGAACTTCAACCCAGTTATGTCTGAAAATATTTTGCTGAAAATTTCGATCTTTGTTGTGTATAAAACAAGTTCAGATTCAAAAATTAGTACTTACTAACATAAAGTTTTGACTACGCAGTGTCCTTATTGAAGGACGGTAGGCATTACCGTGTTAAGGCCAATGCACAAAGAACTTCTTATATAAACTAGCCCGAGTTTTAGTTCTCATACTTGTCCACCATGTTTTCTCTGTTAATCTCATAGAACTTTGGTGCAATTTCAAAAATACAGTTAGGGGTAGTTTCTAGTACATTTTTCAATTGATTTGAAGAACCGTATTTTCATTTTGCTTTTCCCTATCCTTTTTATTTGCGTTACTTGAATGAAGATACTCACTCGAGTGATACTCAGATACAGTGAAATTCAACTGAAATATGATAATACAACAAATCCTCTGAAAAAAAATAATGTATACAGTTCCACTGAAGGTCTATCTAAATACGAATTTTCCATGTTGGTGTATGATGTACTTCTTGTTTCGGATTCGGAATCCTTTTACTCATTCATTTACATTTCCCCTATTCTAACAGCGAAGCAAAACACTTTTTTTCCATTTGAATTTAGTTCTTTTTGCATGTTTTCATTTACATCAACAACGTCGAAAACATTCGCAGTTAACTCAACTAGCTCGTTATAGAAGGATTTCTAATTACCATTGGAATACATTGATCGCATACAACTCGAATAACGGTACATATCGAATGTCTATAACTGGATGGTCTTAACCGTTTAAAAAGAGTAGTGAGTGCTATAAAATGGATAGTTATAATATTTTCAACCTGTTATTGAAATTGGAGCATTTCGGAAAGAGATTGGGTTGAAATGAAAACTTGATTACTCATTCACTGCGTATATTCTAGAATAGAAAAATATTCGACAAAGGCAACATGATTCTACTGTATCAATAAAAATGTATAGTTTCCATGGATTGAAGGTTCTTTGATCCTTATTCTACTAGATTTACTCCTGTCTTCAGCAAACACATTGCAATCACTTACCGCTTCTTCTTTGTAATATAAAAAGAAATTACTCAATGAACATCAATAGCATTGTTATATAAACACGGATGGAATTTCTCATTGTTTCTTTCCATCTCCTTTGCGGCAAATATTTCCTCAACGAATTGTTTCCCGTAATTAATACCAATCTCCTTTTCTTTCAGCACCTCCTTCGTCCGTTGAAATATTAGATCATTCACATAACTCGAAGATCGAAATAAAAGAAAATCAAGAGTTCCATTTGGAGTGCAGAGTGAGAAACGCCAAGCCTGCGGCTAAAATCGTCTGGTATAGGGGAAACGTTGAGATTAATATACGTAAGTGGCACTCATATCTGTCCCTCATAGTTGTTCTCTAATCACATAATAGAAAATCCACCGAAATGGTTATAGCATGAGACCCAAGTTAATCTGACTTTTCAACTTACAGCAAATCGTGAAGACCAAACGGTAGATGTCCCAGCCAAAAACGGTGACAAGCGCATCACACGGTATGACACTCACTCCAGGATCACTCTGAAACCCACTGCTGAAGACGACTACGCCGAATACACCTGTGAAGCTAGACACGAAGCTCTGTCTCAGGATTTCCCTATGAGGACGACCGTTCAACTTAGCGTACTCTACCCCCCTGGTCTCCCCTACATAGAAGGTTACACCGAAGGGGAAACAATCAGGAGAGGCCAGAACATAGAACTGGTGTGCAGGAGTAGAGGGGGTAATCCCCCTGCTCAACTCATCTGGTACAAAAACAGCGAGCAGATCAGAATGGCATACAGAACCGCCGGTAGGGTTTCTGAGAACGTATACACTTTCACGGCCGATGCTAGCGATAACAAAGCTAGGTACAAATGCGAAGCCAGTAATGTCATGTCCAAAGCTCCTTTGAAGGCAGAAATCGACTTGAGCGTATTGTGTAAGCCCATAGCAATCCAAATCTAGACATTTCTCTCCAACTAGTGTTTCATTTTTAGTTTCTCCATCACATGTCACAATATCTGGCCCCACAGAGGCTAGAGTAGGCGATCCAGTGCCCCTAACATGTACTACAGCTAATTCTAATCCGCCAGCTGAAATTAAATGGATGGTGGCTGGTAGGCAGATTCGCAATGCTACTTCAAGGACTGTTGTTTCACCAGAAGGTGGCTGGATCACTACTTCCAACATAACTGCAGTAGTTGAACCTAACAGAAGGAGCCTAGTCGTTATTTGCCATGGAATCAATATGCAACTGACTGAGAACGTTGTTTCTACTCATACCATAAATGTTCTATGTAAGAAGGCAAACTAAAGTTTTAACAATGTTATCTAAAGGTTTTATTTGTTCTAGATCCTCCTAGTGCTCCTTTCATTCATGGTTTCACGGAAGGTTCTCACATTTCCGCTGGAACTGTTCAAAAAATCTCTTGTACCTCTTCAGGGGGTAATCCTTTGGCAGCTGTGACCTGGTACAAAAATGACAAAAAAGTTCACTCGACCATCAAAACCTCGGATAAATCTGTTACCGCCGAAATAACCATTCTAACGAACGTCACTGACAACGAAGCTAGATATAGATGTGAAGCTGCGAATTCGGCAACAGAAATTCCTCTGTTCGAAACCATCACCATGCGGGTATTCTGTAAGACACTTCGCCACTATCTTAGCATGTATGATCAACTAGCCTCTTTTCAGTTCCTCCTGATCACGTCAAGATTCGTCAAGACCCAGAAGAGTTGAAACCAAACGAGGAAGCAACCTTGATCTGTGACTCAAGCTCCAGTAACCCACCAGCCAAACTTTCATGGTGGCGAGAAGGTATACCAGTACCAGGACTCGTCAACACCACCAAACCTGGACTCCACGGTGGTACCGTGTCCAGTATAGAAATGAAAATAAACGCTACAGAGCAAATGAACGGCATAGTTTACACCTGCCAGGCTAACAACGAGGCTTTACAGAGATCTGTGCACGATGCTGTAACTCTTCAAGTTTTATGTAAGTAATCTCCAAGTCCCTTTGAATCATCTTTCATTGGTTTGATTTTATTTTCAGATAAGCCTGTGTTTGATCCTAGCAATGAGGAATCTGTGACTGGAATCGAGGATGAACGTTTAATAATAACGTTGAAAGCTGAGGGTAATCCTCAAAATATTGTCTACACATGGACGAAAGACGGTCTCCCGATCACGCAAGCATCAGCAGTAGTAGGAGTGGAAAGAATAATATCTGATGGTCCTGTGCTTAATATAACGAAACTCAGTAGGCATGACGCTGGGAGCTATAGCTGCGAGGCTTCCAACTCGCAGGGTAGTAGTTTGGCTACTGTGAATATCACCGTACAATGTGAGACACTAAAGTTGCTTCTTTTGTTCGGCGGTTCATGATTTCTGTTTCAGATTCGGCTTCCATAGTGCAAATAAGCGAGAATGTTATAGTGAACGCTAAAGAAGATGCTACTTTGTCTTGTACTGCTGACGGAAATCCTCTAGCTGACGATACCATTACCTGGAAGAGAGATGATTTTCCAGAATTTGCTGCTCGTACTTCAGTCATGTATGATAAAAATGGCACTTCTTACTTGAGGATATCCGGGGTAACTCGAGAAGACCTCGGGAACTTCCAGTGTATCGCCAATAACGGCGTTGGGAATTCTAGTTCTAAGGAGGTTATACTGATAGTCAAACGTAAGAGATTCATCAATTTCCTGAGGGGCTTTCACTAATTGTTTGTTATATTGTTTTTAGATAAACCGGAGATAGATGAACACCCGCAGTTCCTGAAATTTGCAGGTGATGCTGGTGATACTGGGAAGTTGATTTGCAGAAGTCAAGCATCACCTTTGGCTAGGTACACTTGGGCTAGAAATGGTTCTCCAATATCTTCAAACACTACTGGAAAATATTACAGTACCTATAGACAAGTAAGTCCCTTTCAAACGTTCGTTATGTCAATCAAGGATATGGTGCTTTCTAAGTTGAAATATCCTGAAGCATAGAGGTATATAACAATGTCGGAACATTAATTATTTCGAAAGAATGCTCTGTAATGAATGCATGTAACATCCACAATGGGGATGAATTAATAGAAATGTGCCTTGTCTGCTTGGTCCGTCTGGTATCTGGATGGCTCATTTTTTCCAAGGCTTCCTACATGAAGTTGCAGAGCATGACAATTTTTCGTAAACCCTTTTACCCAAGAAGATTATCACATTCACGTATGTGGGAATAGATATCATTGACTCGAGTGAATATATAATATCATCAGTTTCTGGAAACGTTAACAAAAAGCTGAGATGTTGTATCATTCAACATACCTACTGTAGCACAGACGCCTGTTTCGAATATTTATACTGAAATATAATGTGTTGATTAGGACTTCATTGAGAACTAATCGTCTTCGTCGTTGATTCATTATGAATAAATTCCTGATATCATATAATTTCCTACCAGAGATCATCAACGCAACATGTACTGATGTCATAACTTCCTTTCATCATAAAATTCGAACGAATCTTGAATATATGTCGGCGCCATTAGATTTTATTGAAAAGAAACTGCTATTTTCACTATTTTGAATTAACGTAAACTGTTTATGCGTTGGTCTTGTTGGAGAGCTCTTATAATGATTGTTCAGTCCAGGATATTGAAAAGAACGCACTTATATAAATATCAAGTTGGGCAGAACGGGAACGAGCAGGAGTGGTGAGTCTAGTATTCATTAACGGAACAGCATAGTAGAGAGATTGCTTGTTTTTTTCTCAATTCGGTTTTGAATACACTTTTTATCAGAGTATCTTGTACTCTTGTAGTGATTGATGCTGTTGGTATCTTGTTTATAAGTTGTCATGCGATTCAACTGGTCATCTAGAATGATCGATACAATACGTCTCTATAAATGAGAATCCGAAATGTATCAGACATATTATTATGTGTCGGTGAAACTCATCTTGGCACGTGGGACAGAGACCTATTGTCAATTGAAAACATAAGTTGGTAAAAGAGTTATTTTCTTGAGTGACTGAAAATCTCATAACAATGAACTAATGGCAAACGTTTGTACAGTATCGTGCTAAAGATGACAACATCACAGATGTTCCAAAAATGTTCTCTTCTCAGATTGACAATCTGAAATCGGAGTCGACGCTCTACATCACCCACGTGACCTCTGCCGACTACGGCCTGTACGAGTGCGTCGCAAGAAACGAATTGGGGTTCTCGACCGTCTCCCCACGCCTGGAAGTCACCTCTCCCCCGGACACTCCGACTTTGCTCACGGTGATCAACGTGACTCACGACACCGTTTTGCTCGGCTGGACGCCAGGTTTTGACGGCGGCATGAAAGCCTCCTACAGGATCAGGTAAGGTTACACTTCAATAATTTGACGAATGTGAGCTGAATATCATATATATACCGGGTGTCCCAGTATACCTGTTCCAATGAATTAACTCAGCCATTTCAAACAATAAAAATTCGAAAATTCCATGATCTTTAATTCGTTCAAGGAAGTACCTTGATGATATCTTGATAGGTGACCTTGGCATCATTTTAGTTCTGGAGAAATCCATTTTGAATAAATTTCGCTCCTGAATGCAGACGATTGATCAACTTTTGCATCAAACATAACAGAAATTTGAAGTGGAAATTAGTATTTTCTGAAGAAAATCATATTTTCGTCGATAATTAGGGATTGAAAGTTATTAGCGAGATGAAGCTACTAGAATGAAATAGACATTTCGAAGAAAAGGAAAGAAATATCTAAAACTGGAAGTTGTTATGGAACGCTGGAATTTGAGACACATTTATGTGAAATCGGAATAGAAACACTTTTCCTATATAATGTTTTTCGAAATTCAAACAAATAAGCCTTTTTTCAGCGATCAATTCGGAAAAATATAATTTTGACAAGTGGCGAAAGTCACGTGACCTCAACTGAGTATTTCTTTTTTCGTATTTTCTTAAGCAAAATTAAAGAACGAAACGTATTTCAGGATCGAAAATCATTGAAATTAATAATTTTTTTGATCAGGTATCGGAAGGTGGACGAAGATGGGTACAAGTACGAGGATGTCGTTGGGGGCAACGTGACCAGTTATGTGGTGAGGAACTTGGAGGTGAACACCCAGTACGTGTTCTCGATCATGGCCTCCAACAAGCTGGGGAATAGCAAGTTCATGCCCGATTTGTTGTCAGCCAAAACTTCAAGTGAGTGTTTTTTTTGTATATGTATCTACTGATCGTGCTCGTCTTGGAATCATAAGAGTGCACATATTTGAAAATTGTATCTTCTGCTACTAACAAATGAAATGTCCAAATATTTCGATCTTTTCATTTATATCCTGTGTTCAGATCTCCTACTTGTTCATCCACATCACTCTACTTTGAGGTACTAGGGGTTTCTTCAAAAATGTTGATGGAATGGATGGAATTCCATGGCAAATGTAAAACCTTCACAAACGATAAGATTTCCACAAAATGACGAAGCTACTGTGTTATCGAAACATGTTGTGTGTATAAGAATTCTGTGGAAATCATCGTTTGTGAAGTTTTTACATTCTTCAAAAATGTCGAAAAAGGAGAAATTACCTCTGGCCATCACCCACTGCTTACCAATTCGAACATTGTCCTCTAGGAAGAAGTAGGGAAAGGCTCAACCAAGACAATACCTACTCACTTCAAATAACTTGGGGTCCATCGAATTCCATTCACTCAAAAGACCAAGAACAATACCTAAAGGTAGTTTTCGTATTTTTATGAACGACTAGGCAACGAAGACATAGCCACGTTGGTTATAATCAACTCGAATTCACTGCTTTGATGCGAGATTCGTAGAAGCACTCGAATCTAGTAGGATATCAATGATGACTTGTCATATTCTGTTATGGTCATGGCTACTAGATTTCAATTTGAATTGAAAAAAAGTGCTTTCATAGTGACAAAAGGTTCATATTCCAGTTTCACAGAACTAAATGGATTGGAATGTATTGCGAGTAGTAAGAAAATGCAGTATACACCTTGGTAGTGAAGGATAATATTACCACGGCACCTTATATACCCCTCAGGTGAGGCCTCGGGATATCATCTTGGTCCCTGGGTAATACTGATATTCTTCACTACGTTGGTGTATAAATAACGAATATATCCTGTATATTGCTGATTATTTCCCTTATCATAAAATAGACCAATCAGACAACACCGCGGATATGAATTTCCTTCATATTGTTTTCCGATTTGTCGACTATCACTGATTCTTACTATTATTGACAACAATCGTTTTCGTGACCTAATATTATTTCCATCAGTGGAACCTCATTAGATAGATTTTTCATACAGAGAATTCCAAATATTCACATTCATACTATGCTATGAAGTCATCTTCCATGCAGATTATTCGGATGCGTAATCAAGGTAATAAAAACACAAATATTATCGATTGAGCGTCGACAATTCATCGACTGTAAAGCCGTTTGAATTGAATCAACGATTTACTGGAAATGAATTCACGTTTCAGTAATATTTGGTGCGATAGATTATCTCTTTTTTGTTTCAATCTAAGTTATTCATGAAATAATCTAGCCGTCTATCCCTCGACATATAAATTCAAATGGATAAAACTCATTGGTCTTGGGATATAATACCTGCCTATATGATTATGCCTCAGGGTGGAATCCTATGATTTCAAGACAGCATTATGAAAATATACTTAACTCATATTAACACACTGTATGTATTTTTTCACGCTTCCTTCCTTCTACTAACCAACTAACAGACAAAGTCCAAACATCGTACACATCTTCAAGTTTGGACGAGAAGAATTTGAAGAACTTTCCTGGCTTTCTCATAATCTTGGGCACCATAGTTGGAGTTTTGTTGATTCTGATGAACGTTCTAATCATTGGCTGTTGCTTGCATAAGAGATCGAAAAAGAGAGTGACAGGTAATTGATTGTTTTTTGTTTCTGTTTTCTCAGTGTTTGTTGGCGATCATGTCGAAAAAGTGATTCCGGAGGACTTGCTGGAAAAACAGGATTTGCCGAGGATTTTGATAATAAGCGTGTCAGTTGTGGGCGTTATTCTTTTGTTCATAAACATTGGCTTAGTGGCTGGATGTATGCTCAAAAGGAGAGCGAAAAGAATGAGAGGTTTGTTTTTTTTCTACTTTTTTTTTGTCACGATATTCGTTCTGAATATGTAGTATATCGAAGTATGATTTCTCATATCATGGAGTTCAACAATTTCGAAACGTTTGGTGTGTCATCGTCAAAACATTCTACTTGTCAGATTATTTTCGTATTATATAAATATTTGTTCTATTTCATAAATAATTCTTCATAACTATAGCTTCACAAATAGCTATATGAAGCACTGTTGTATCATATTTTGAGTAGAGTAAAATATAAACTAGGTATGCCCTGATGATGAATAATTAAACCAACAATATTCGTTTGAAATATGTATTTGCATTGAAACTACATAATATACCTATTTATATATGATGTTATTCAGTTGAAGGGTTCAGTTTGATGTTTCATCATTCAACTACTAGTAATTCAATTTTATTCTATAATAGGTTTGGTACCTACATGGGTTATTCAGTCAGAAGAGTATTTGCATGTATGCAAAAAGCTCGATAAATATGGGACTTCATAAAACAGATTCAATTTTAATAATATTGTTTTTCGATATAAATTGATGAATCTATATCTACGTACATAGCATATCTCACTTTATACGGTCCCCTCTCTATATCTCTGCAATTAGTGGTGCGATTCTTACCAAATTCGGACCGATATGAATAAGTGGTCAGTGCCGTGCGCTTTCATTGAAATAAAAAGAGGTATATTCTTCATGAAATCATATTAGTATTTTCTGCAGGAAAACTAATTTAATATTATTGTTTCTCATGCTTGCGAACCTCCATTCTGAATTGACAGGATTGACCTAATTTTTTCATTTTTTTCTCGAAATAATAAGAGAATTTGAATCAACTGCAAATTTTGTAATGTTCGATATCTGCAGTAGATGGAGAATGAAGATAGGAAAGAATATACAAGATACCTAAACTTTTTTTTCTGCAACCGACACAAAAGTCGTCCATTTTGATACCAAAATTAGCTCTTAAATTGACGTTTCTATTACTGACACAAAAATAGGTATGTTGCTAGGCAACATATTTAGTTCCTAGGAGCTAAAGTTGAATTTTAGTTCCTAGGAGCTAAAGTTGAACTTCAGCTCCTAGGCACTAAAAAGGATCTACTGGACGTCATCAAGAATAAACAACATTGTGACGGTTGGTTATTTGGGTTGAGAGGCATACCTGATTTGTTCCCGATTTCAGCAGATTTGGCATTTCATACCCATGCTGGAGATATAAATACACCTTATTATAGTATAGTATTGGAATTATTAACATCTCAGTTAAGTATTTTTGTTTTGATCAGGAAAGCCTTCAAGATTCAAATACCTGCTTGATCTGTATTTCATTCGTTATTCTCGGGATGAATAACTTGTTTTTGGATAATCACGGCAAGCAATAGTTTTTTGTCTCAAAAAACGATATTTTTAACCTTCATTTGATTATCAAGCGATGAACATTGTATTACGGAGAGGGAGAGGAAAAAATAATTGCTCTTCTTATTGTTGATGTGCTCACTAACCTAACATTTTCCAAGTCTTGTTTCTATAGCTGGCACTGACGCAGTATTTGCCATTAGAGCACCTGGTCCATACACAAATATGTCACTCTGTGATTGTATTTATATTGAAACTACAATTCGAACATCCTTGAAAATTGAATGAACCTGCTGTTGATACAGGTAGAATGTTCTCACCACACGAATTATTTTTCAATATTTGTTGCATTGCATACATATGGCACGGTATTGGTGGTTACTTCACATATTTATTTGAGTTATTTGTTTCGGTTGCAGAAAAAATAGCATGTTTCATTCGGATCAAAAGTGACTTTGTTCGACTCGCAAATTTTGCTTTCGCTCGGTTTCGCTAAACGCAAAATTCGCTTGTCAAACAAAGTGTCACTTTTGATCCTATAATAAAACAATCTACTATTTTTTGTTGAAGTCACCGTTTCCAAGTGAATAATTATTTACGTTCGCGAAATTGCTATTTAGATATGCCTGTCTTTTTAAAACAAAGCAATTTTTCATTCAATTTGCTCAAGATAGTGATTGGGACAGGTGCCGTTCAATGAAATACAATATTTTTAAAAGCCTTTGGAACATATAACATTTCGTTATTATAGATGACGTATTTCGTGACTGTTAGGGAATCTCCTAAACTCAACTTTCGAAACCTAATTTCTGTTTTTGTATCTATGCCTCTTGCAAAAATTTCGTCATACTTAATCATTTAGCAGGTGATTACCTGCATGAGAAAATGACTCAGATATCGATGAATAAAATGACCTGATCAATCACTGATTTTCCATAAATATTTAGTGTTGAATTCGACCGAAAGAAAACATTGAAAGTTAGTGACGATAATATACAGGGTGATCAGGGTTAAACCGCCAAACGTTCAGGATAAGTTTTTTAGGTAAAAATAAGACTTTTTCTTTTTATAAGCTTGTGTCCTAACTTGCTTCATTTCAGAGATATGGGGTGTCAAAGTTTTTAAAGAAAATCAGTTTTTCATTAATTACTTTGGACTGATTTTGATAAAACTTGGCTTGCTCATTTGAGGTAATATGGGGCTCCTACTTTACTGTTTACTTAAAATAAAATTATGATTTCCAGTAGCTTCCCAGAGGGTGATCTATCTAATATTAGGATAAATCATTATTGTACGACAATGTTCCATTTGTATGTTTATTTTTCAATTTAAACTTACAAAAATTCGATTTTTTCGTCATTTTGAGCAGTTTTTGTCGTAATATCAGTCGGATAGTTATATCCTGCTACATGCAGGGAAACGTTTTTTTCTTATTCTCTCGAAAATGAATAGAGATAATGAAAAAATTGATGAAACAAGAAATTCATTTTACCCTCTGGGACGCTACTGGAAATTATAATTCCATTCAAGTGAACAGTAAACAGAAGCCCCTTGTTATCTCGAATGAGTATGCCAAGTTTTATCAAAATCAGCCGAAAGGTTCTTGATTAATTAATGAAAAACTGATGTTTTCAAAAAATATAGCAAAAGAAAAAGTCTTATTTTCACCTAAAAAACTGATCCTGAACGTTTGGCGGTTCAACCCTGTGTCACCCTGTATATTATTATATAGTTAGATATTCACAATGGTGGAGTGAACTCAGTTGTTCAGACAATTTGAAAAACACTTCATGTCGCTTCATTTGATTTCATCATCACATCCAGAATTCCCGTATATGAAAAACGGTTTTCGAAAAACCTTGCGATAAACAAACGTCTGAAGCTCATTGAGAAATTAGGAGAAAACTACGGGAATTACTTTCAACCAATAACCCATCCTCGCTGTGTACAAGGCAACATCTGGTTCAATACAGTGTTGTGTATCCATGTAATTATTGTAATTGACGTGTGGTTTTTGTCTTTGACGCAGAACAAACCAATCAGACGTCGAAATCTGCGACGATCGAAATGTACGCCCCGAGCAGCTACAACGACACTGTCACAGGGGAAACGCTGTCTTCGGTGAGCGAGAAGAGCGAAACTTACAGCAACGAAGGTAGCAACCATGATTACGTGGTAAGTCATCTACAGTCATTCGTCCATACTGCCGGGCTATTTGGAACTCATATGCCTATTCGGAACATACAGGTGCTTTTTGTATGATATTGCTCATCATATAGTTCTTAGGATCCTCTATATATTATAGTGTTGTTCTACTCTCAGTTCCAAGAAAAGTGACGCACTTGATATTTGACCTTTCTTTAAAAAAAAAATAGGCCAATTTTTTTTGTTTGTTGGTAGGTAATGCATTTGTATTCAAAGAAAAATAAAGAGGTGAAAATTTTTTCAAAGCCTCCTTGATGGTGGTGGAATAACTAGAACCATGATTTATTCTTAATTTTTGTCTCACCCTGTGTGTTAATTGAGTAATGGTATACAAAGTGCTTACACCCTATACGAAAGAGGCTTCTTTGGCAAGCATTTTGTTCTTTTATTCATTGATTCATCTGTAAAATTTTCCGAATTACAGCTTTTTTGCTGATACATTACACTTATCCCACAAATTAAATTTATTGAAGGATCAGAGTACTCAAAATTGATTGGGCTTTACTCTGGTAGAATCACATTGTCTTCAAAAAACCAAATGCCATAGCAACTAATTTGTTGAATGCCTCCATATTTGACCATTTGTCGTTGTGTCATTAATTGAGTGTCTTGTTTTATTGACTAAAATTACATAAAATGCCTCGACTAAATCCTGAACAAGTAGCAAGATTAGTTGCGTTAGTAAGAGATGGGCGTAGTAAACGTTACGCCGCTCGTGCAGTGGGAGTTTATGAAGCAACTGCTCGTGGAGCAATCCGCAAGTACGAACAAACAGGAAGCACCGCTCGGAGGGTCGGTTCTGGTCGCCCCCGAAAAACTTAATTTAATTTAAAAGCTAGGAGACCTGCAAAACGTCCCAAATTATTGCCCGAACATCGTGCATCCATATACGTATTAATAATCAATACGGATAATCTCTATCTGTTTCCATAGCGAAACATGAAGCCGATTTTTGAAGACAAATGACTATTCATAAGGAAGAGTTTTGAAACGATCAGACACATACTGCTTTGATTGAAAGGCTAGTAAACGTCATTGTCCACCGAAACGCATGTCTTTGATGACTCCTATAATAGCGCATGGCGCATGCGTATCATGCCACCAAATACTTATGGATATTCATTTGTTTCATATTTTTGGCTTCATCCTGGCACCCGTTATGATCCGTATTGTTCATTAATACGTATATGCGTGCATCACGTCTTAGATGAAACGTCATAGTGACGTCAAAAATTTGTGTGTGACGTCTCTGACGAAAAATCACCAATTTGGGACGTCACAGTGACGTGATCATTCGTCATCTAGTTCCCTGGGTCGTTTCATACTAACACTGTCCTTCCGAATTTTTCAGGACGAGGGCAGGAAGCCGGCCTCCAACTCGTACCTGATCGAGCACCAGCCGGACTATCCAGGGGCGTACACGGCCTACGAGATGCAGATGCCCGCGCAAACGGGCACGCTGGGCATGGCCCACACGACCCACACGCTTCCCCATCCCCACCACCACCGCCACATGGCGCACGACCAGCGGCCTAGAGCCAGGGACGACCAGAGTCTCGGGTACCATGGCGGCATGTCAGGTAACTAAAACTCGATATTTCCCATGGAAATTTGAGACGATGTATTCTCGAACTATTGTATGGGAAATTATTCCTACACATTTCAAGAGATATCCATAAAAACAACATGTTTACACTCATGAAATACGAAGTTTTTCTCATTTGTGATGGAAACTGAATCCAAGTGAGAAATCGAAAAAACATGTATCGCAAAACATGGCAAACATTGATGAAATAGATTATCTAGAGACCTTACAGAATTTGGAAGTGGCTGAAATCCTTGCTAGAAGACCAAGAAGAAGATTTTTGCCTAGAAGGGACCCATTTGAGTGTCTGTCTGCTGCACAATTTATCAAAGTTTTTCGTTCGTCCAAAGGCATTAAAGAGATTTGATAGGTACTTTAGAATTCTTATAAGTGAATTGGAGGTGACATATTCCTTTCCTCAAGTCCTCAGATGCCTCTATTGTTTCTATTAAAAGTGTTTCATGCTCTTTGCTGATACCTCGTGGTTTTTTAATATTGTTTGTATCCATATCCAGTTCGATCAGAGGAAAAATTGTAAATATGCAATACACAAAATTGGATAATTTAGCTGAAAATCAATTTACTTAGTACTTAAGGAGAGCATGCACTGTATAGACATTGTGATTTTGAGGACCAGTAACCCCCCCTGCCGTGAGGACTGGATCCGCCTTCAAATCAAATTTCGTTTCAGCGAAATCATCGTACGTCAGCGCACCCACCCCCACTCCGCCCGCAGACGGCTCCTACTACAACATGTCGGACCGCTACCTCTCCTACCCGCCGCCGCTGGACTTTCAGCCCGCCCCGCCCCTCGCGGACCACGCCCACCTATCTCATGGCCACGCCCCCGCCACGCCTCCTCTCCCCGCCAACGGGCAGGCGCTGCGCGTGCGCGGTGTGCCGCCGCCAGACGTGTTGCGCAACACCAGCCAGAATGCGCAGATGCTCGGCCAGAATGCGCAGATCCTGCAGGCGCAGTCGCTGGCGCAGAAGAGGGAGTTGAGCAGTTTCGGGAACGGGTATGGGGGAAGTGAACAGGAGGGACATCTGGTGTGAGACGGGGAGGGTCGGGAGGAGGTTTTGATTTTTTTGTGAGGGGGTTGTACAACGGATACGTGATGTCTGGGTTCGAGGAGGTGGAGTTTTTGGAGCTTTCTCTTTCTGTTTCTATGAATGAAAGTATACGATTAATATTACAATATACAGTGTGATGCAAATGTGTGGAATGAATTCATTATTTCTCAAACTGGCGACTCTTGAAAGAAAATCAAAAAGACGTGAGTTCTTATCTTGGAAACCCCTTTGCTGATATTCAATTGAGAGATGTGTTGGTGTAACGACGTATTCGACGATTTTTCTGAATACGAACAGAGGACATGCGATACTCTATTCAAATATTCTACTAATCGTCTATACAACAGTATGATTATTCGAATATTTATCCATATTGAGTACCATTATTCATCCATAAAAGACAATAAAATCATCAGAGTCGTAGATGGCGCCCGTGACAAACTTGTGAAGTAAGGCACTCCCGGAAACAATCAAATTTGAAATAATTATCAATATTTCCTTCAAAATGGGGAATGGAAATACATGAAAATGTGATAGTGACAAAGAATGTAATGAATGAATATACTCACAACCATAAACAATAATCAATAGTAGTAGTATAGTAGGTACTTTCTTAAAACTCTTTACTAGTTTTAGTTTCCTAAATGTTTTTCCACAAGAAGCACTGGTAACAGGAATGGAGAGAAATATTCGTTTAGCTCTCTCTCTCCAAGTGATTTTCATGGATGATTCGATTAGTTTGAATGTTATCTAACTTGGCGAAATTTTCCAAATGAGCTGAACTTGGAATTCAAAACTCTCTATTCCATCAATAATGAATTTTAAAACATGCCTCTCTTTCGAACTAAATGATCAATTTTTTGCGGCCTTTGCGGGCGGTTGCCTCCTTTGCCATGCCCTAGCTACGGCCCTGGAAATCAAAATGAATGATTAAATTGATGACAATTGTTTTCTAAAGTGTTGAGTTTTCTAGAACTTCAGGGGTTATTTATGCAGTCTTCGCTCTGATGCGTTTCATTATAGGATATTAATTCATCTCCCCAGCTAATACTAATCATCAGGATATGGATTCGTTCGTTTTCTGTTAGTCTCATTGCTAAATCATATATGAGCGATTTCAATATATACCAATTTCAAATTGAAGTATAGAACTTATTCAAATTAATTTATTTTGCATCTGAATAAACAAGAACAAACAAGGAACTACGATGTTCAATTCTCAGTGGCCTACCTTATAGCATAGTTTAGTTCAAAGAAATAAGCATTTATTGTGATTTTTCATTTTCCAAATACATGATCAACCCTATGAATACATATTTATACTATTGGATAGACGATCAGTAGACCTTCAGAATGAGGTTTCACATGACCCCAGTTTGTATTTTAAAAAATAGTCCATTACGTCATTACGCTAATACCGGTGATATATCGACTTTTGTATGATTATCATGAGATGGGGCTTTGAGAATTGAATATTGAATGTTTATAAATTTTTTTGAAGTCATCTATATTTGATTTGAAGTATTTATTCTATATACATATGCATCATACTGTATATTATGTTATTGCACTGGGAAAAAGGTTTACTATTGGAAGTTTTGAAAGACACGTCTTTTGTACATGTTTGAAGATGTGAAAATATAGGTAGATATATTGTGAAATATCAGATTTGGACAGATGTAGAGCTTTCAGAGTAAACTATATCCAAAAAAGCCGTGTCAATCTCCAGCAGAGCATTTTTCATCTCCTCCAAACTTCTCCAGACATGTTCAAATCAAACACTGAATATTTCTGAGAACCTCTCTTTCAGCTTTATGATCGTGATTTTTCTCAATCCAATGAAACTTTGTGACAAATCATCTAATTTATCGTCACTATACATATATTATTGGAAATAAACTAATATTTTCATTCATGGAAATGGGGAAAGAAACGACCAAAAAATTTAGAGAAATGAAGATTGTTTTCCTCCCGCCCAGTTGGAAGACTGCTGTACAGAAAAAAGACTTAAGAATACTCTGAAAAAAAATGTGATTTTAACAAGTTGATATCATTGCAATAGTAAGTAGACTTTTTTGAAAGTGAGTGACTGAGTGTTTTAAGTTCAATGGGTTTATGCCTCATTTTTACGTCATTGTTGCTAACTGATAATCAGTTGAGGGTGATTCTAGCATAAATGTGATCTTGAGATGCAGAGTGTTTTCAAATTTAGGCTAGGAATAAAAACTATATGAAAATTCCTGATTCAGAATACACCCTGTATAATACATTAATCATGATACTGGTTTGTGTTGTTACTCTGAGATAATGTTTCTTTAAGTTTTTCGAAATGAACATAAAATTATTTTGTAAATATTTTTCTAATGATACATATGTGTATATATTGCGCGTAATAATAAGATTATTTGTTTTATAAAAAATAATTCACTAGTCCAATCAATCAACCAAAGCGTTCTTTATTTTCTTTTGTAAAAATGATTCTGTCGACTTTTTTGAGTTCGTGTATATTTTCAGCAGGATATTTATTTCTTTTCATTCTTCTATTAAAAATAAGGAATTAATTTTGTTAATATATTATTATTTTGTATATTATTTTTCCCAAGAATTTTTGTATTAATTTTCAGTTCTTAAGAATAAATAGTTACGTTCTCTTTATTTTGTTTTTTTTTTCACTAAAAGAATGGATAAAAACTGCATGATTATTCATGAACATCAAGTATAACCAATAGATAAATAATTGTTTCACTAGCTTTATACAAAACGGAATCTACATACCTTTCCAAAGGTATGTCAACCAATTTTCAGCAACTATATTTCAGTTATAATGTTTCAAAATTATTGTTTTTGAAAATAAGGAATTCTCACAGTTTTTATCTATTTATCGGACAAATAGGGTATCAAAGAAAAGATTCGTTAATGGACTAAACGAAATCGTAATGTATTTATCTTCAATTATTTTTGAAAATATCGTGGTGAAGCTTGGAATCATTCAACTCAAATATTTAAAGTAGGTAGATTTTGTACATATTGTAAAGAATGAATTTACGAAACTAAACCTTCCATTATTGCCAATGTAATGAATAACTGTAATGTAATTTGTAAAAAGTGCCTTTAAATTTCGGAGCATATTCGACTTTTTCGTCGAAGACTATTCCAAACATTATTTTATTTTCCAACCAAGATTCAACGTTTGGAAATGAAAGGATGGCAGTCTTCGATGCGATAGTTATTTTTGATCCTACAACAAATTTATGGTTGTTCTTCACATATTCCAACGTTTTCGAAAAAAATAACGCATTCACTTTCATTGTCGATATTCAATTGAACTACACCCGCATTCTTCTTGAGATATATATACTTATTGTGTGTGCATGATAGTATGTACAGGCTGTCCCATTTTTGATGTCCTTACGGGATATCTCACTTATTTTCTAAAATAGAGATTTGCAGTCTTCGCGATCGATGACTACTTTTTCATGATACTCACGATACCGCGAACATAATTTTTATAACTTGCTTTGTCTTTGAGATACAGGGAGAAATTGAATTTGTTGCAATTTGGAACCCCTGTATCTCAGTTATCTTTCAACTTATCGAGAATGTAAACACTGCCATCTACATATTTTTTCACGTGAAAGCCAGTGGCGTAGTCAGATTTTCAAGGTAGGTAATAATTTTGCAGATATAAAAAAACTAACTCCATACGCCACCTCAAGAGCAGCACTGTTAATTAGAACGCAACAGCGAATCGTGCGGAATCATCTCCGGCAGACGCTATGTAAATTAGAATTCATAATAGGTTTTACAAATCATATTCTCTGCTTTTCCAGGAATCGAACCTAGCAACCTTTCGGCGTTTCAATTGCTAGTCGAGCACCCAACCACTGCGCAATTCTGCTGTTTTGCATCTCAATATTATCATGAAAGTCTTCAAACTCGACCATAAAAAAATTGGCAAGTCGTATGACTCATAAAATAGGTGTAACAGAAAGTCGGTAGTCAATCAGAGAATCGGATGTTTTTCCTCGTTCATATCATATCATTTCAATAAAGGTGAAGTAGCTCAGTTTGAATATAAATTCGTTTGTATAACCAATAAGTGCGATAGCGGAGGACCGGGGTTCGAATCCCGAGGCGATCGTATTTTTGTTAATTATATATTGGATCTTTTGTTTATTTGATTCAGACCAGGGAAGAGACTCTCTTATCCTGATATCTATCATGAGACAAAAAAAAAACAAAATGAAAACGGTATTGAAGTTTGATGCGAACAGCCCTTCTGCCCCAAATAAGTTTCAGAAATACATTCTGAGAATTGAAAAATATCGAACGAAACAAATAAATATCAAAAACTTGAGAAGAGTGAATTTGGTCATAATGTGTGGAATTTTCTCTAGTTTATAGACAATCTCGGTCTTTTGAACTTTGATTGTTCACCTGGGTCATAATCAATTGCATTTCGAAGAAGCTGATTCTTATGAACCTCAGCTTCTTCGAAAGTCTTGATGTTTCGTTATCTAATGACGGACACGATTGAAGGGAGTTTCAGATCCCTGGCGATCTGGTTACTCCGAACATACCAAGGAGATCCTGTCACCATTCTCGCGATTTTGTTTTGTAATGTTTGTAATCTGGTGATATGAGATTTAGCTGTGTGGCCCCAGACTACCGAGGCATACAGTAGAATTGGCCTGATAGCAATGATGTAAATATTCAATTTTGTCTCAAACCCAATTTACTTCGTCTGTTTAGAAATGGATACAGGGCTCCAATGGCTCGTTTAGCTTTTGAAACTTGCTGTTCAATGTGCTGGGCTCAGGTGAGCTTTTTGTCAATGCACACACCTAAAAGTATTTAACTTGTGGAGACCACTCAGGACCGGGGTTCGAATCCCGTGGCGATCGTTTTTTTTTTTAATTGAATGTATCGGCAGATATCAACTGGTCCTGATGACGGCGAGAGTCTCTCTTATTGGTAATGGC